GGTCCAAAGTGTGCCAAGAAAATATCCCCCACACCATTACACCACCACCTCCAGCCTGAACCGTTGATACAAGGCAGAATGGATCCATGCTTTCATGTTGTTTACGCCAAATTCTGACCCTACCATCTGAATGTCAAGATTCATCAGACCAGGCAACGTTTTCCAATCTTCTATTGTCCAATTTTGGTGAGCCTCTGTGAATTGTAGCCTCAGTTTCCTGTTGTTAGCTGACAGGAGTGGCACCTGGTGTGGTCTTCTGCTGCTGTAGCCCATGTGCTTCAAGGTTTGAGGTGTTGTTTGTTCAGAGATGGTCGTCTGCAAACCTTGGTTGTCAGGATGTTTTGCCTTTCTATCATCTTGAACCAGTCTGGCCATTCTCCTCTGACCTCTGGCATCAACAAGGCATTTTGACCCAGAGAACTGCTGCTCAATAAAAACAACAGGACACATTCATACGGACACATACACACTGCAGCAATTTCCAAAGAAGTGCACCTGACCCTTGTTCATATTATATTAAAGAAAAAACAAAACAAAAAAAACAAAAGCAGTTGAAACAAATTTTCTTTTTTCTTTTTTATTTTCTCTTTTTCAGACCATCCTCTGTAAACCCTAGAGATGGTTGTGTTTGCGTTAGTGAGCAGTTGAAAAGGTGTACCTTATAAACTGGCCGGTGAGTGTATGTTGGCATGGCTAAACTTAACATGACTTAACTTGAGCCGGCTTGTCAATGTAATTTCTCTTCCTCCCTCTTCAGCGGTGCACAGTTGTAACAGCTCAGCCGAAAACTAAAAGTAAAAACTCCAGTTCCAGCTGGCATCATTTCCTTGCGCTACTTTCGGATGATTCTACAGTACAGTACTTCAAAGATGATTTTCCTTGTCTTTATTATGTGTACTCCGTTTTCTAATGGCTTGACAATTCTTATGGGTCTAGTAGTGTGTTTCCATGGTTATGTTGACGTTCTCGCTCTGAAAATTCTCTGGATTAGAACTTTATAAGTGTGAGGAAGTGGTGCATCATAGTAGTATAAGCAGCCTAGCTTGAAATGTTTTGGTGAGGATTTTATACAGTTATGGCTAAAAAGAATGTGATAAGTAACCCCTCATTAAAAATAGAGATGTATATCACATCATTTATTTGTTTAATAACAAGTTATATTTGAAAATGAATTATTTGCTTTGAGTGAAGTCCTTGAACATGAAGAAATAATGCTTGAGAAAGTACATGCAAGTCCTTGACTTTTATTCTCTATTGTCTGGTTAAACCCTAAATCCCTCTTTTTGTGAGCCAGCTGTGTTTTGTCTGACAGTGATTTTCCATTGGACACATTACTTTATATTTTATTACAGATGAAATCTTGCCCTCAGTTCTCTGGTTGAGATGATTCTAATTGCTCGATTTCCCCAGATATTCATTATATTCATTAAAGTTTCATCTGATCTCACCTAATCTAATGAGTCTTTTGACTGTGTTTTGTCTGAGGTGAATGCAAAATGACATTTTATTTTCCTTTTTTTAAGTAGGCCTATGGCTCAGCTCAAACACTGGGATAGCGTTATGTTTGAATCATATGTGAAAGGGCAAGCAGGGTGCCAGGAGCTGAAAGTGGCACTTAAGTTCGCTGAATGCCGTTTCAGCAGCTGCACACAGAGATGTTCCCTATTCATGAGAGAGTGACCTTAGAACACTGTCACCGCTCTCCTGCACCTGCAATGATTTATTGGTTACAGAACGCTGGGCAGCCGGATGATGCCGTGGCGTTTGTGCACGGAGCAACACGTGACCCCCACCCTCTTCAGCCTTTGTCCTTCCCTTCAATTCGGTCAGCTGCATCAGGAACAGAAACGCACATACACTGCCAAAGAAGTCCATGCTATAACTGTAACTTGGCAGTCTTTATCGTGAAAGACCAGGACAAACAATTTGGCTTCTGAAATGTGGCGCTCTTTCCCCTTGTCTCTTTACAAAACAAGCAACTTTAAAGGAATACTTAACCCACAAAATGACCAGTTGTATATTGAATTAGTCATGCTGGGTTACCTTGAATTTCTGATAGGAGGTTTGTTTTTCTTACATGCCTCCACAGAAAATGGTGGCAATTGATTGACTGGGGACCGCATTTACCAACAGCATAACTATATCAAAACACCTGTTTTCACACAACTTGGGGAGCATAAACCAAGTCTCAAGTGCAGTGGTTAGCATTGTCGCCTCACAGCAAGAAGGTTCCAGGTTCCAATCCAGGGTGGGGTTGTTCAGACCCTAGGGTGAGGGAGCCCTTCAGTGCGGAGTCTGCATGTTCTCCCTGTGTCAGCGTGGGTTTTCTTCCCACCACAGTCCAAAGACATGCAGGTTAGGTTAATTGGTGGCTCTAAATTGCCCGTAGGTTGAAAGCAAGCATGAATGGTTGTCTGTCTCTATCTGTCAGCCCTGCGATAGTCTGGCGACCTGTCCAGGGTGTACCCTGCCTCTCGCCCAATGTCAGCTGGGATAGGCTCCAGCCCCTCTGCGACCCCCAACAGGATAAGCGTTACAGAAATGAATGAATGAATGAATGTTCAGTCCTTTCCATACTGTACACATGTAGTTTCACTAAAAGACCTTTGTATTGGTGTCTGGCTTTGAAGCAAACATGTATACGTTTCACTTTCAGATCACTTTTAAATAGTTTAAGTGAGATTTAGTAAAAATGCCCATTTGGGGCAGTACTGAACATGCGACTGGGTAAATAAGACTTGGATAATACTGCATCAGTTGCGTGAGTTTGTAAAAGGATACATTGGTAGTGCCTGTGGATATTCTAATTTATCCAGGTCATAGTTATCTCAAGGCAGTTGAATCGAACACAGTTGGACGTAGTTTGCTGCTGCAACGGTGGTCGTTGGAGTCAATGGTCATTCACAAATGGTCCTGTGACATGCATTTTTATCTCGGATGTAAGCCTCTCACTACCAATGTGCAATACACCTCCCAACCGCTATAGTGGCGCTGTGGCGCCGTAGAAAGCCGGTGCACTCATTCATTGCAGGACGAAGAAGGGGTGAAGAAAATTTCAGACATCCGAGATAAAAATTCATGTTTATTGAACAATAAAGGATATACAAACACACGGCAACCCCCTGTACACCTTCCTAACATCTGTGCCTATGAGGTGAGTACATTACATGTTTGATTTGAACATTTTTGGAGACGTGAATTGGTCTAGACTGGGAACCCCCAAACCAAAAACGAGGTTCGTTTTCAAGACGTTTTGGTCCAAGGCTAGGTCCAAACCATTTATAGCATTCATTTTTTCCATATACCGGTCCCTGGCTTCGTGGTTCAGTGTATCCCAGTAAATTCCCTTTCCTTTCTGGCATCTTAACATCTTTTCCCTCGCTTTCTCCACTGGATGTGACTCAACTACTGCGTTTGTTTACTGCTGTCCGTAGCCATCAACATGGCAGCGACGTCCATGGTGACGTCACTGTGCCCATTCCCGGGTTGCCTTGAGATATATTGGTAGTCTTTCTGTTGTTAAACCTGGTCCCACTCAATCAATAAATCAGTATGTTCACAGTTCTCTGTGGAGGCAAACAAAGGTGTTTTCACGAGGTCAAGGTAAAATGGCATATACAAATGGACATTTTGTGGGTAAAGTATTTCTTTAAAATGTCACCTTGACCTCTAAGAACTTGTTTAATAGGCATCTGTCACTTCTGTCATTGTAAAGACTAAAAGAATAAATGATTTGAAACTCATATACATGCACATACTCATGCTACGAAAGTTTCTCTGTTTGCTCGGCTTGTCCTGGTTTCATGTTATCTCCTGTATTCGTGGGGCTATTTTCAATTCAAAACACAGACTCCATCAAAGAGGATATGCTTGTGTTTGTGTCAGGAGACAAACAGGAGACAGGAGAGAGGAAGGGGACCGTCACACACACAGAGAGAGAGAAGGAAACATAAGCAAAGACAGAAAAAGAACAGTAAGGGAAAAAAAAGAGTAAAGCACCACATATCTTATTGAATCAGAGCACATGAATATGGAGGAGCCAGATGACTCCAAAGTTCAGAGTAGCAAATGTCTCACAAATTACCGGGCTGCAGCAACAGAATCAGCACAGTCTTGTTTGTAGGAATTCGATTTTCCAAGACAGTGCCTTTTTATCCTTCTAATAATATCTTTTCAGTGCACTTAAGCCACATGCTTTAACAAACATAGTATTAATACACTATAAAAGAGTACTGTACATGATTACAAGCAGCAACATGATTTTATGTACTGCCCAGCAGTGTGTTTCTGTATGTGTTCAATTGCATGTGTGTGTGTGTGTGTGTGTGTGTGTGTGTTTTGAGAGCTAATGATGTGTGGAGCAGTGCTCTGGTGTCTCTCATTCAGCAGCAGATGCTGGCCTATTATCCGAGATGTGTTTCTGATAAGAATAAAGCATTGTCGCCTGGTGTGTGTGTTTCATCAATGCAGGGAACAACATGCGCAGTGAAACTTCAAATCAGAGCTCTACTCAGTCTAACCAGTAGATCCAGAGAAATACTGGAGCCTGCATAAAAGTAAAATGTTGATTTATGTGGAGCATCGATTTTCTTCTTCAGCGTCGCAGAAGGAGTGTTTTATTCAGGACCCGAGGCTGATAATATCCTGGCTCACTGCTGTCTTTTTTCGCCATCTCGCCCGTGGCGTGGATTTATATTCCAGGCTGATTAACCTGTCTATTCTCAGGTCCAGTTGACATATGTTTTTATGACTGCGCTTTTAAAGTTAAACTGTTTACCTTCCTTCGCCGCAGTCTCATTAAACCCTTTTATAACTTTAGTTTTAGGTGACCGGAAGTTGCTCTCGGTTGTATTTCTGGAAGATGCCCACACAGTAACAGTCAGAATGTCAGAATGAAAAATACTCTAAGGTTGAAGGACCTGCTGTGGCTTATAATAGAAGATAGATTCTATTTTCTTCAACAGCGTCAAACATCTAACAATAGCTCTCTCTTCCCTCAGCCTAATCTCGTCCAGACGATACTACTTTGAGATCCTCCACAAGCAGGATGACAAGGGCTCAGATCACGTGGAAGTTGGGGTAAGTGGACCCATCTAATCATGTGAGCTCAGTTCCTCTACTCTGCATCTCTGTCTACAGCTCTTTTCCCTCCCAGTCCTTTCATTCCAGCTGACTTTTAGCATACGAAAATACTTCCACCTGTCTTGAGACAGCTTTCACCTTTGGCAGGACAATTTGCATTTAGTTTTTGCTTGTACCCTGTGTTTAACACTGTCAGAGTGGTGGCTAAGTGGTGAGAAATGAAAAGAAGCATTTGAAGTGGAGAGATCTCCATTCCCTACTTTGCTGTATTATACTCATCAAAATTGCATGCAGTGAATGCCCTCCTTGTTGCAGCACTGGCTTTTTCTACCAAAGGGTTTAGAGCAACTATTTTTTCTTCTATCCTCTTTCTATTCCTCCATCTGTCACCGCTCTCCTCCTCCATCTTACTCTCCCACGGCACTTTCTCATTGGTTTTTCCTCTCTCTGTATCTTTGTTCTGTACTTCGTCTCTAACTTTCCGTTTTCCCTCCCCGATCGCTTCGACTCTCCTCTGCACCATTTCTCTCTCAGTAGTGTTGTTCTGCACCTCAGGCAAAGCTCAGAGATGAGTGGGGCTTAATTTCGAGATGAAGTTTCAAACGAGAGCCCACACGCCTCGTGTGAGCCTGTGCTTTGAGTGGGAGGGCAGATGAAAAAAAAAAAAAAAGAGATCACTGGTGTATGTGTGTGTGCGTGTGGAATTAATGTCTTAACAAGCCCCGGGTTATAGTCATCATGGTGACCATCATCATCAGCAGAGCAGCAGCAGTACTGCTAGAGTTGCTCTCTTCTTGTACAAAACTTCATTTTTGCACCCTGAAGGTTTAGCTTCATCCCTGGCAAACTCTATCTTAGCGCCTCTGGCTTCTTTCCTCTACCTATATTTCTGTCTTCCTATTAGTTCTTGTGACTTTCTTCCTGGGTTTTTATATATTTAACTGCTTCCTTTTTTTTCTTTACCATGTTTCCACAAGCCATTCATCACTTCACCACTCCTTAACCTCGGCCACAGTTTCCAGGCCTGCTGTACTCTCGTCTGTGTTTCTCTTGTGTCTCAAACATTCAGCCTGTTCAGTGTTATTCAGCTCAGAGTGGCTGCTTTTAGATGCCAGTTTTAAGAGAGGAGTTGACAGGGTGATGTGCGGAGCACCATGCTGAACTGATAGCTCTGAGGTGCCAGGAGGATCACATGTGAACCCGAAGAGATGTAGGCGAAGGACTGTGAGTGTGTGCGTAAGAGAGAGAGAGACGCATTCATCTACTTTACAGCCATGCCATACTGACACTTGGGCCTCCACTCCAGTTTGATAATGGCGAATTGGCACAGTCAGCTGGTAACTACCTATGGCAGTGTTTTCACACTGGCTGTGTGAAATGTCGCGTTAGTGGCAGGTCTCCCAAGTACTATACTGTTGCTGTGGGATGTTGTGGGTTGTTGATGTGGGTGTGTTATGAATATTCTGCTGATGATGTGCAAGTGTGACTAATAAATTACAGCCTGTGACGGCCACATCCCAGTGGCAAACAAATTAAACTTTATTTGGAGAGCCCGTGGATAGGACAAACAGACTTGTTGAGATACGAGTTAATAAAAGCAGAGAGGCACGCTGTTGTTATGTCCTCGTCGCTGGACTGGTGAATCCTACTGGTTAATCTGGTGCCAATGTGGAGAATGGGCTCCTGGCGCTAGATGGTTTGAGCCAGGTGGTAGGCTGTATTCACACTAGAAATGCATGGTTGTCATTCATGTCAGTGAGATGACTGGATTGGCAAAGTGGGTGGCTTAATTCAGATGTCTTGGAAAAGAGACATGCGCAATCCTTTGCAAAAGTAGCTGGAACTGCATCAACTTTTGCCACAGGGTGATGTAACGTCATCTGGCAAATACATGCATACATGCTCCTTTTGGAATTACACCCATCATTGTAGTGTGCACAGTGTAATTCTAATGTGGTTCTCATGCTTATCGAGACAGAGAAAGAGGAAGGTCGTCCGGTGAAATTGTCAGGGAACAACCTATTTACACAGTCAGCATTCAAGAAGAGTCCCATTTCTAGTGACCTGATGAATCCATGTCCAATATTCTCTCTCCTCGTAGCTCTGTTTTGGTCTCCACCAACTCCTGAAGTAAAATCTGGCTCTTTTCAGGGTGACACAGGCTGATAGCTGTCTGCAGCTTCCCCAGCTGGACAGTGGAAGTGTTCCCTCAGATGAGGAATCGGCCTTTTCAAAATGGAAGATAAAGGAGAGACTGATAAAATATACAGATGCACCAGCAAACTACAGGTTTTGGTCTCTTAATCAGAGTTCATGGCTTGATCTAAGGACGAAGACTGCATGGACACAGATGTCAAAACAAGAAAGAGGAGACAGAATAAGGAGGAGGAAAGGAATGGATCAGGAGTGTAGAGAAGGATGCACTGGAGGCCTTTATTTTACGAGTATTTCTGATCTCTCTATCTCGTGGCATTTCTCATACAGAATATCCAGAAAAGTGTTTAGTTGATTATTTCTTCTGGTGAATCACGGTCATGTGGAAATCCATCTCTCTCTGATTCCCTACCTCACCTCCTTAGCCAGCTACTCATGAGGCCATCAAAGTGGGTTTGTACTAGTAGAAACAGTTTAATGAAGCATATAAAAGTCATGCAGCAAATCAAGATAGTGTGTGGGAATGTGTGCATCTGTGTACACCGCGCTGTCTTAGTAAGGCCCCTGTGTGTGATTTAACAGCGGAATACATTTCACACCTTGACAAAAATAGCAGATTTACCGTGACCGGCCCACAACAGCATAAGCCCAGGGCTCACATAAATCCGCACAAGCCCAGGCACTCATTTGTTAAAGAGCAGATAGCGTGGATTCGCAGCTCTTTTCTTCTGTGTTCTGTGCCAAGCTGTGATTGCATGGTCAAAGGTGGGCTGCTCCTCTGGGAAAGTATTTGTTTAGCAGCGCTTGTTATAAAGAAACAAGAGGGTGTAAATATCAGATAGTACACAAGCGCGGTCTGAGAGTTACCTTTTGGCGAGAAAATAAGAAAGAGAAGCCTTGTTCTCTCTGTGTTGGCCCCTTTCTTTCCCATCGTGTGAAGGAATTAGGGAGAATGGCTGCAGGTAGGGTGGAACATAAACAGCATTAGAAACAGGAAGAGATGGGTTAGGAGTACACTGTGCCTTTCCCAAGGGGATGGAAACAACTGCATTTGTATGTATGAACAGCGGGCCGGTGAATGAGGGGATTGTTGAGTCGTTAGGATGAGTAGGCAAGTTACTAAACCTGCACTCTGACTGAACCTTTCCACTACTACAGCTCGCTCTGCCTCAGTGTTTTTCTTCAATTAACTTCAAATAAACCCTCTTAAGAGTGATGACTGTTATTTCAAATGGATTACACGAGACGAAAAAGAAGACTTGGTGAGTTTCTTAAATGTCATCTGGATCTTTGTCAGTGACACGAGGAACTTTTCCACTGGCCTAATGGAAAACTTGCAAAGCCATGTGACAGAGTGAAGGAAAGTGTCGGCCATTAAACGGTGTGATTGAGAGGAGGAGGGAGAAGAGAAGAAAGTCACGCCTTAATTAGTAATGGCAACTTTATGGAGAGGCATGGGTGTTGGATTTAAATGCAGAGTTTTAATGGTCCTGTTTTATCACTCCTGCCAGACTCAAGTCTCAAACTGCCAACCAATTAATACACACACCCATGTATGTGCACACTCGCCCTCTCCCTCTCGCACACACACCCATCTACCCCAACTCCCATAGACTCATGGGTGTATTCACTCAACCATACACACATGCACACACACAACATCTGCCTCGCGCATACCTTCCTCGGTATAAATCAGTGGTGGCCCGTGCGACCCGCAGCCAGCTGTTAAAGTATATTGTGTGTGTCGTTTTACTTCAAAAATAATTCAGCTTTCTCTCAGTTTCTTTGCCACTTCAACACCTTTTAAAGTTGTCTGTAGTTCAGCAGCTCCAAGTCGCATTTTCACTTTTTGGTTTTCACAGCGTTCTCCTTTAGCTTTTCAAATACCCTTTTCATTGCTTTAACTTCTCATGGTCATTTTTTATCTGATTTACTTTGCTTTTTATCAGCACCATGCACACATCTGCTTTTCTCCTCCCATACTTTACTTTTATTTTTATTTTTATTTTTATTTTGAGGCACCTTTTAAGATCCTAGATAAAGATGAGATTTGTTTCTAGTAATTTTTTGTTTAGTCTAAACATGGTGTTCACCTTAAGCCTCATTGCTCAGGCCACCATATGGCCACGCGAGTTATTTTTGTGTGAGGCGGCATATCAATTTGCCCTTGTATTTTAGCACCTCTATTGCAAAAGGTTGTGTATATGAGTGTAAGGAAAAACCAGTAACACCAGCATTAACCTTTACCTCACCGTCAATCGCTCTTTAATAACGCGGGATGCTTTAACTTCATGATCTTTGTCCTTTTATATTCTAGAGGGCAACATCAGTGCCAGTCAAAACGACTGTAATGACTGCAGCGGGGGTTAACTCAGACTATCCCTCTTTATGAGGATGAAAAGTGTAAGACACATAAACTCTCTACAGGAATCGCTTCTCATAATCCAGAATTCCATCATATCACTAAAGATTATTCTCGTTCATGTTATTCCCACTTGTAAAACTGACTGCGAGATGACTACGGGGATTTAAAGCCATTAATAGAGCTGATGTTAGTATCTCTCTTCTTGTCTTTCATGCCAGCGTTTCCCCTTGTCATCATGCAGATTTGATCAGACACTTCGCAAAGAGCACCGTCCCACACATGACACACTGTTTTCACATTTAAAAAGAAGCCACGTAGTGTCTCGTCACCTTTTCTCGCTGTGTCCTTACTTTAATGTGCTTACATTATCTTGTATCCTGTCTAAGCAAGTGCCTCTCTGTGCCGCTGGATCTTGCAGACACACTGCTTGTTATCTATGGGGAAAGTGTGATATTTGGAAATTGTGACTTAATTAAAT